CAAGCTAATACCTATTCCACCCGTCCACAAATGTGATAAGTATTCTCTGCACTCCCTCACCTAAGTCATTAATAAAAAAGTTGAATGGAATACTCTGGTTTCTCTTCAGATCGAATAAAAATGTTGAAGAGCACCAAGCCCAGTATCCAACAAGTAGCAAAAAATTTAATTTGGGAGACTGATCAATTCCAGCTACGGTAAGCATATTATTTAAATCAGTTATTGGCACATACATGCACTTCTATCCAGGAACCTTAGATTACTAAACCAGAACATAAGAAAGCATCAGGTTTAGAGTACATAGCTTATTTGCTGTTACTTCACTCTTCCTTTTGTGAAATTATATAAACAAACCAAGAGCAAATTGTTTTCAGTTTGATCCAAATATTACAATTAAATGAGTCCAAACAACAAAACTGGCTTAAAGACAACATACGGTCTTGGTTAATCCCACCTTTCCTCCAATAATGTCAAGATATGGTACACGGCTCCTTTCTTTCCACTTAATCTTCCTCACAACCCTATGAGGTAAGACATGTTAAGACTGGCATACAATTTAAAAATGAAATTGATTTTTTTAAAATATGGTTCTGGAAAAGAGCTTTCTGGATATACCCTGGATCACCAGAAAGACAAACAAGTGGGTCCTAGACTAACTGATGCCTGAACTCTCTCTGGAGGCAAAAAATGACAAAACTGAGGTTGCCATACTTTGGGCACATCTAGAGAAGGCAAAGTGGGATGTGGTAGCGCTGTAGGTTAAACCAGTGGTTCTTAACCTTTTTGAAAGAAACGCCCCCTTGAGCCATTGAGGAAGTTATCATCACCCCCCTCCCCGCGGTGATGATTTATTTATTTATTTATTTATTTATTTGTTTGTTTGTTTGTTTGTTTGTTTGTTTGTTTGTTTGTTTGTTTGTTTGTTTGTGGCACTTAAATACAATGACCCCTGAAAACAAAATTCAATTATAAGAAAATGAAATGCCCCCAAAAAGTAACATTTAATGATTTAGTTGCAAGCGAATTTTAAGACGCAAAAAGAAATATTAAAAGGGCAT